AAAAAATGGGCAAAAATTTTCAAATCACCGCTCCTACCAGGGTTGCCAGGTGACGACGATCAAAATGGCCAAATGTCATTTGTGGGAGTGCCCTCCGTCGAGGAAAAGCATTTCTAAAATTCCCAAACGGCTCCTTCTACTTTTCACCTTTTTGGGGTAAATCTCCGAAATTATCCTAAAATCGGGGAAAATTTTCACCTCTTCTTCTTCTTCTTCTTCTTCTTCCAACGGGCGTCTCCGCAACTCGACGTCAAGATTGCGCCTGTTTTGCGTATGGAGGGTGTGTGGCTGGATACTACTCCAGCCAACCCAGCTCTGCCAGAAACGCTCCTAGCGCCTTCACATTTGCGATGGCCTCCTGGAGGTTACCCGGCGAGCCGAGGTGCTTTGCCCGGTAGCTGGCCACTCCGTTGCATTCCAGCAAGACGTGAGCGGCTGTTTCTTCTTCCCTCATGCATCCTCTGCACAAGGGGCTGTCAGTGACACCTAGATTAAAAAGGTGCCTGTTAAAATTGCCATGACCAGTGATAGCGCCTGTTACCAGGCGCAATATTGGTTTACTTAGCTGTAGGAGGGCCTTGGAGAGACGAGCGTTTACTCGGGGTAGTGCGAGTTTTGCCTGCCTGCAGGTCTCCAGGGTGTGCCAGTATTGTTGGTGTAGTTTACTTGAGTGGTCTCGTATCTTACCAATTAACCAGCTTGCGGGGATAGGGATTATCGGCTCGGGGCCCATTGGTGGTGCGTCTGATCCCCTGCGTGCCAGTTCATCAGCTGCATCGTTCCCACGTGATCCACTGTGTCCTTTTATCCATTGGATAGTAATTGTGTTCTGTGACCCTACCATGTTTAGAACCTGGTGACACTCATATAGAAGACTCGATCTGACAGAGCTGCCTTTGAGAGCTTGTAAAACGGATTTGCTGTCCGAGTAGATCCGGATTATTGATCCTGTTACCTTCCTTGTTGCTATCGCTCTCGCTGCCATGGTAATCGCCATACACTCAGCCTGAAAGACTGTGTTGTATGTGCTGAGAGGCAGGATGAGGTGTATGTTGAGGTCCTCGGAGAATACTCCGGCTCCTGTTCCTGATGCGGTTTTGGAGCCATCCGTGAAGACTGTGAGGGCCTTGTGAGTTACCTTTGGATTGTCAGTATCCATCAGATGTATCTTGTATTTCTTATCGAAAATGAAGGCGGGTTCGATTTTGTCACACGCCGCTTCTACAAGTGGGGTGTTGAGCCATTCCTTCAGTAAGCCATTGAGATGTTTGCTGGTCTCGAACCTTACCAGTTTGTAGTTTTTTAGTCTCAATGCTGTTTTTGCCGCTTCCTGTCTAATGTAGATATGTAGCGGTGTAATATTTAACATTACCTCCATAGCTGCCGTGGGAGCCGTGCTCATGCATCCTGTTAGGGCGCAGCATGCCTGCCGCTGGAAGCCTTGTAGTTTGTTTTCACATATAGACTGAGTAGTTTTTGGCCACCATACGATGGCACCATAACTTACCATCGGTCTTATGACTGTGTTGTAAAGCCACAAAAACAATTTTGGCGCAAGTCCCCAGCGCTTCCCAATCATCCTGCGGCATTGCCACAAAACAACACTAGCAGTCTTGATTTTTTGTTCTATGTGGCTGTTCCAGTTTAGTTTACTGTCGAGAATTACACCTAGGTACTTTACCTCCTTGGACAGTTGTAGTGTGGTGCCGAATAGCTTCGGTAGGCAGTACGTGCCTACTTTGCGTTTGGTTGTAAACATTACCAGTTCCGTTTTTGCTGGATTCACGGCCAGGTCGTATTGTGCACACCAGCGTTCGACTTGTTTCAAGGCTGCTTGCATGATGTTGCAGGTTATACCAGCGTGGGTGCCTAGAGTGAGTATTGTAATGTCATCGGCATACCCTATGGTGTAGAAATGACTAGCGTTCAGGCGGGTAATCAGGTCGTTGACCACCAGGTTCCATAGTAGCGGTGAGAGTACTCCTCCTTGAGGGCATCCCCGCGCGACCAGTGCTCCTGTACTGTCCTCACCTGCTACCCGTACTATCCTGTTACGTAGCATGTTTACGATCCAGTCTATAACTTGTGGCTCAGCTCCATGTCTCTTAAGAGCCTCCTCAATGCTGGTGAAGTTAGTTCTATCGAAGGCGCCTTCAATGTCAATGAAGGTGCCCAGACAGATGAGTTTATTGTGAAAGGCCATTTCTATCTTACCGACTAGTTGATGGAGGGCCGATTCTGTAGATTTGCCCGTTGTGTAAGCATGTTGATGTTTATGTATCGGAGCAGTACTCAGTGCACCGCTCCGAATATGTCTGTCGCATAGTCTTTCTAGAGTCTTGAGTAGGAAAGATGTTAGACTGATGGGGCGAAAAGATTTGGGGTTAGTATAGTCGGGTTTCCCCGGTTTGGGTATGAATACTACCTTTACCTCTCTCCATCTGTGCGGCGTGTATCGGTGAGCTAGACACGCCTGTAGTATACGAGTGAGTGCTAAGACTATGTCTTCGCCCCCCCATTGTAGTAGCGCCGGGAAGATGCCATCACTTCCTGCCGCCTTGAAGGGTGAGAAACTATTGATTGCCCATCTCACCTTCACAGACGTTACGATTTCATTGGCGAGACGCCAGCATTCTTCCGTCGGTGTTGGCGTAGTGTCACGCCATACTACCTGTTCGATTGATTGACAGTTTGGGAAATGGGTTTGTAATAGGATGTGGTTGGTCTCGTTGTGGTTCTGGGTCATCGTGCCGTCGGGTCTCCGAAGATTCCCTAAAGCGCCCGGTCCCTGCTTGGCCAAGATTTTCCTTACCCGATTTGCCTGTTGAGTGGAATTTATCTCCGCAGTGAAATTTCGCCAGGAGGCTGTTTTCCAGTATCTGATTCGTTTTTTGTACTTAGCTTTGATAGCTTTGTAGTCATCCCAGTCGGTTTCGCTTCGGGTGTTCATGGCTCGGTTAAACTTCTTCCTCACCTTGCTTCTTATTCTCTCCAGTTCAGGACCCCACCAATGGTGTTTGCCCGGCCCGTTTGATTTCAGAAGTTTGGGAGGGCAGGCTTCTTCGTAGCATCCTAGGATGCATTCCGAAACCATATTTACCTGTTGTTCTATTTGGTCCGTGGTGTCAATTCTATCATTTCCGTAGCTCATGGACAGTTTATTTGACACCAGATGGCTGTAGAGATTTTTGTTAGTCTTCTTAGGGTACCTCTTGGGGACGGGTTTTGTGATTGGTACCTGTAGGTTGAAACGAATCCACCGATGATCAGAGCATGATGCCTCCTTCGATACATGCCAGTCCGATATAGCATTTGCTATCTCTGGTGTCGCGAGAGTCAGGTCTATGATTGAGCTACCGTTCTTGCTCACATAGGTGGGTTCGCTTCCTCTGTTTATTATTAGTAAGTTAGTGGTCAGAAGGAATTCAACAAGTTGGTTACCTCTGATGTTGTTTTTCTCCATCCCCCACAGTGGGTGATGAGCGTTGGAGTCTGTTGCGATGATTAGTTCCACGTTCTCCTGCGCGCAGAAGCGGACCAGGGAGGCGACCTCCTCCGGTGGTGCTCGCTCTCTTTCGTGCATGTACGCAGATGCTAGGATCATATCGCAGTTATGGTTATCATGTTTCATGGTCAGCCTTGTGGCACAGAGATCTCTGGAACAGAAATTTGTTAAAGGCTGTGTTTTGACATCTTTTGAAGTGTATATACAGGCTCTCACGTCGTTAACAGTGGCTTGTATGAGCTTACCTCCCAAATTGGAGAGTCCTCGTATTTCGC